TCGTTTAGTACACTTGTAACCGGTATGCTTGTTTGTCGTGTATCTCATTTCAATTGCATGAGTAGCTTAGGATGATCCCTGAGTCTCACTTTGACATAGACGTTAAGTGGCATGTTCCTTTTCAATTGTTTCAAGTTAATGTAAAAATCTTTACAGAAATTGAGTCTATGCATGCCCATTCTCTACGAGTAAACTTGTTGACTCACCCCGAAGTTACTGGGGGTTTTGTTCAGGTACGAAGACTTGGTTCGTGATGCTCATCATTCCGTGGATGACTTGTAGCTTTTAAGTTTCCATTTCATGCAAATGTTAGCATGAGATGTCCTTTTGTAACTCTATATGTCAAAACTTGTATATTAATTCTAAATATGTAATGTGTATATAAGTACACCTTTTATAATGTGTTTAGCATGTATGAGATGAGTCCGGAGGCCAATGACATGCATCTTGTATCCTATGTAACTTTTAACTTCATGAAATATTATGAAAATATTGAAAAATGTTAAGTTATTGTTTCATCATGGGTGCATCGGGTGTGGGAATTCCATTTTCATTCTTTTATAGGGTCTCATTAATCATGTATGAAGTGTGGCCAAGGGCCAAACGGTCATTTGACTCCATTTTATAATTTTGAATTTCATAATTTCCATTTCAAGTTCATTTTCGCCTTTTTGGCCGTTGGGGGGTCGAATTTTAACTCAACCATTTTTGGGAGTCGCAGACCATTCCCACGCGCTCAAAATCACCCTTTACGTCTGTGTACATGATCGTTTTCATGAAAAACCTCTTCCTTAGTGAAATGAGCCTTCGGTGGACTTGGTTCACATTTTTTTTGAAAAATCTTATTTAAGGACATTTTGGGGATTTTCTTTGGGAAATAAATTCCGTTCTTAACTTCATGACATAGAAAATGTGATTTTAGGGGGAGTTTCTTCATGACATTTTTCCGAAAAATGTCATCTTGATCTCGAAAACCGCGTTACAAATTTGTTTTTCTGTATTTTCTACTGTTCCTGCTGCATTTACTGTTTCTGCTGCAGGTGAACCGGTTCAAGATTTAGTTTTTGGTCCAGCATGGGTGTACTGCCCATGTTGAACTGGTTTAAGGAGGTTGAACCAGTTCAAGTCTAGTAGAATTGTTTTGTAGGATCAGCTTTGGTCTTCCAACTTTGAACTGATGTAACTCTTTCGTTTTAACTCCGATTTGGTCCGTTTTTGAGTCTAAACTGACCGTGTTGAAATAAGCTTTCCAATGGTATAAATTTTAGTTTCAGATTCTTCTCCTAATTCAAGATATCCTTGTTTTAGTGAGAGGGTGTCAGATTTGGTTCGAACTGGGATAGGGTTCTTTTGGGATTTCACTTCCTTGGCCTTGGGACTTTACGTGAAGTTACCAAAGGATGTTTTTGACCTCATTTGACTTGTTGGAAGTCAAATTCCTTCCTCTTAGGGTAAAATGACCATTTTACCCTTGGTCCTTCTTTCGGTACAGTTTTGATGCCCTTGTCTTCGTTTTGTTTCTGTTGAGCCTTGAAACTCTTTCAAAGTCCATGCATGTGTCCTAGGGATAACATATATCTCTATGGACTTGTTTTCAAGTTACTTCTGCACTTTATTGCTTTGTGTTCCGTAACCTCATAGAAGGTCATCATAGGTTCTTAGAGTTGTGTTGTGCCTTGGGAGACCGTTGTCTTGTTTCTTGCTTCCGCATTCTGGATCCGCTTCAGGTCATCACAGGATACACTGGGTTGAAAAATCCAGGGTCGTCACAATAATTAAGGTGTATAATTAATAGATGAATCCTATTTTTTTGGAAACATTAAAAACATAACACCGTTTATTCTCGATCAAAATGGTGCCGTTCCACTAGAGGGTAATTTTGTAATCTTGTTTTTCCGGTGCCAGAGGCTGACCTACTATCCTTAATTGCAACTTTTTAATAGTTCAGGGGCGCATTTGTTAATTTAGAGGGGTTTTATGCAATTGGCTTATAATTTAGGTGTTTTTTTTTGCACTTTACCCTAAGTTATATTTCTGAGTTCAAGAATGTTGACTATCCACAGGATTGGTCCTATTAACTATAATTAAGGTGTATAATTAATAGATGAATCCTATTTTTATGGAAACATTTAAAGCATATTTTGTAAGACAAAATTACCCTTTATATTATTATTTTTTCTTTCCTCTATTCATATGGCGTGTGTATATAATGGTTTGCCGTATCATCTCAAACGTGACGCATCGGACTATTTTTCAAGTCTGATACGTGATCCGTATTAGCCAGTTTATACTGATTTTGTTCAAGTCCATTACACCGCGACTGTGACCGATATTACGAACCATGATATATATACAAACAATCTCCTTCCCTCTTAAATTGTTACTTCCTCCAAATTCCATTGAACCACAAATATTCTGAAACTTTTTTTTCTTTTTTTTTTTCTTTTTTTTTTCTCTAGTAACTCAAAGATCCGCTAGTAGTCCTCAATTGGATTATATATTTTATAAGAAAAGAAATGTTTAGTAATAATTCACTAACTTCAAAGAAAGGAAAATAGAATAAAGGAAAGCGATGTTGATGGACAGTAACTCAAGCGGCTGTCTTGACATTTTTCTTGTCAGTTTGAGTTTGTGCTCAAGATGTTTCAATGTCTAGGAGCTCCAAGCTAATACTAATTTGCATGGTGAGGGTTTTCTAGTCATTTGGCCATATTTAAATAGAGGGAGGGCAGCAAAAGTTTCTTCTCTCCTGGTGCTGGGGCAATACTTAATTTAAATAATTAATATAACCAACAATTATACAATGAGAGTTGATATTATCTCTTCACATAGACGATCCATCCCATAAATTTAGCAATTGAAAAGACTATTTTGTCCTTATCTCCAAAAAAATCTGGATAATACAATTTGGATAGAACTCTTCAACCGGATCATATTCGTAGCTCAAGGAACAGATCATTAAAGTGCATCGGTTTTCTTCTAGACTCAGCTTCAAATAAGGCTTGGTATTTGATGAATTTGACCACGTCTTTCCCTAGTCGACGAAAAAATTCCGGCCACCAACTCAATGATCTCACGCTGCATGCAGTGGTCTATTTCTCTCTCTTCTCTCTTTTTCTCATGACATTAATTTTTTAACCAGTGTGGATATGATAGTTTTATAATTGATTGAGAAAGGAATAAGCTATGATGAAATTCTAGCGAGGGAGATAATACTGTACCCATAAAATTTTAATCAACACTCAATTGAAGAGATTTTGTACTCAGACATGCCGTGTGATGACTTGAAATCAACGGTTAAAAGTTATGAGATTCTACATGAAGTTCCACCAATTTGTACGTCCACATGCTGTAATGGTGACCTATCAATTGTCGGTTAGACTTTTATATGTTATTTATTTAATTATGTTATTTTAATTATTAAAATTTAAAAGTAGAGCATTTAAAGTTAAAGGAAAATATTTAGTTACTCACTAATGAATAGTGTCACTTTATTCACCTCTTATGTATTCCAATAATAAAATGACACATCAATTTTAATAACAAAATGACACACGCCCTCCTTTCTTTTTTTAGATTAACGGTTAAATAAACGTACATGGTTTTTTTTTATTATTTTATTGATTTTGTTATTAAAATAATGTATTATTTTATTATTAAAATACATAAATGATGAGTATGGTGAATTTATTCACCGATAAGTAATTAGGCATGGTCAAAAGTTGAACGCGAAACTTAAATATAAACCTAAATGGAATCAAAGTTAGATTGCCACGTCTACCTATATGCCATGACTTACATTAGGACATCCCAACTAATGGTGGGCCCAAAAGACAACTATTTTTAATTGAGACGGCAATGGAAATGCTAGCTGGTTGATAATCTGTATCTCTCATCCATTAAGGAATTGATGAAAGTGCTTGTGCTTGTCTCTATCTCTCAATATATAATAATGGTTAAACTTTTTATATAGTTATTTTATTATAAGAAATAGAAGCTGAATGAATGAAACAGTATTCACACATTCTCACTTTTTCCTTCTCAGGTAGCTTTTACCCTATCTATCTTTTCTACTTATGTCCTCTGAAAAATTTTACACGCTTCCCCACTAAATTCCAATCAATTACAAGTAACCACGTAAAAAAAAAAAAAAAAAAAAAAAATTATTAACTAAAATATACAATAATTGAATACGTATGTGATTGAACCAGATCATGTGGAATATATAATTATTTCTTTTTACAAATAGTTTTACTTGTGTCAATTTTATATGAAAAACATAAAGAAATAATGCAACATCAGCATAGAAGCAAGGAAAACATTTCAGAGTTTTTTTCTTATTATTATTATTTGAATAAATAAGAAGGAAAATGATATAAAAGTCATCTGAGTAGAATAGATTGATATAACCATTCTATCCGATCGATAATAATGATTAGAGACTTAAAAAGTTACAAATGAATAGTACTTTTCAATTTATATGGTCATTTATGAATCAATGAATAAAAGTAAATGAATTGATGGTTTGTAAAATGTAAAGCAAGAAATGAAAAGTAAGTTTTATATTTGTAATTATTTTCTTAAAAATTCAAATTGCAAGAGAATAAAAGGAAAGGGATTCCCTTTCCTTTTCCACCGACCTTAAAACCGAACCCAAAACTGCATTTCCTAATTCTCCCTTTCTCTCCTACTCTCCCCACTTCCTAAAAGGAGATCTTTTTTCCTTTCCCTTACCCTTACGCTTACCCTGCTTTTCTTTCCCCCTCCTTCCTTTTATTCTTTCCAACCAATCAAACACACTGTAAAGTGTATTGGAACCTAAAAACTAAAAAGATACTACACTAAAAAAACTCCCTTTTCTTTCTCCATATATCACACACATCATGTCACTTGAAAAAAAAAAAATAAATAAATAAAAAAATTACTTAACATCATGCATATATATACCCAAACACATGTATATAAATAATTCAAATTCATCACCAAAATAAAAAACTCAATAAGGGAGAAAATCCAATTTTATTGTGAAATATTATTGCAGTCCAGAATCCATGGCTGACCAATTTGATCATTAATTTTTCACCTCCCACTAACAATATATATGGAAGAAAATCATTATACACTCAGATCAACACAGATTCTAATCAAAGTCCAAAAAAAAAAAAAAAACACGGAAAAAGAAAAGAAAAGAAAGAGAATTATGTTACTGAAATTGATAGAACCTTGAGAATTGAGATAGTTAAGATAGTACCAGCCTAGGAATTACAATTTTCTCAACCATAAAATTCTCTTTATCCTTGGAATCTGAATCTCACCATATGCATCAAATTCTGTTTTTCTTGAACTTTGAATCTTCCCATGGAATTCACCAAAAACCCATCAACAATCCCATCAATCCACAACCCAACAAAAGTGACAACACCACGGCGGAAGAACTCCGGTGAGCTCTCGAGAAATAGGGGTCTACCGGATATAAATTCCCCGGTGGAGCATTTAGGTATACGTATGATGATGGAGACGATGGAGTTGATGGAGACGATGGAGGCGGTGGAGGGCAGTTCTTGGATGACGGCGGCTTCTTGGGAGCCGGTGGTGGTGATGGCGGAGGCGGTGATGGCGGAGGCGGTGATGGTGGTGGAGGGCTTTGGTTACATGGGTTGTTACAACATGAGGTGCACTTAATGCCGGAATCAGGTGTTCCTTGGACTGGGGTTTCGTCGAGCTTCCTTTGATCCAAGCCGTTGATTGGGGTAGCCATGGCCATGATGATCATGACAAACAAGAGAGTCAGTAGGGTGACCGGATTAAATTCTCCGGTTGTTCTCGACATTTTGAGGCCGGTCGCCGGAATTTTGATCTCCAATTAAGGTGTTGATGTTGTTGTTTGGTTTTGTGGGTTGGGATAGTCTTAAGAGCTAAGGTAGAAGAAGAAAGTGAAGGAGGTGTATGAGAGTGATTTGCTTACGTTATTAGGTGCATGAAAATGAAAGGTGTAAAATGACTAGTTAATTACAAAATAGGCATTTGTTAAGCAACTGGGGGTTTTAGTAGGCAAAGTGGAGTGATTAGGACTTGGTTTTTATGGAGTGCCTCCTACGCTATTGGCTTGATCGACAAGGTAATCACATTGCACGTGGATGGTCCAAAATTTGGGCCCCTGTATTCATATTTTATATATACAATGGAATATATAATACCATGGATTTAATTTTATATATTACACTCATGCTTCAATTATTGTACCCATATATATATATATATATATATATATATATATAGTATAACATATCATAAGGTATATATACAAAAGTTAAGGGCACCCCATCCCTAATTTTTTTTTCCTTAGTAAATTAGAGGAATTGAATACAAGTACATCTGCTAAGGATGCTGAGTGCTGTACCAATTAGGTTACTAAGTATTACTTTAACGTCACCTTAATGGTTTAGCAAATTAAGTTTTGAAACTATTGTGTTCTAAGTCACATAAAGTAAGACTGGAAGCAAAAGTAAGAACGTGATCAGAAAAGCAATAATTTTAAATCAAATATTGTGGAGGGAAAAATTCTCCCTCCAATAAGACTAATCCAAGTCGTCATAAATATAAACTTATCCTTGGGAAGTTTATAAAGCCCACTTCGCTCAAACCCAAATTAAGAACGCTGCCAGTCCAAGATCACTGTTCATAAGCCCGATACTAATGTTATTTGGTCTTTAATCCCATTAAAGCCCGAATTAAGAGATTATCAGTCCAATGTGCTAAACATCTAGCTCGTTGGTCAAGCCCAACCGGTTCAAGGTACATTCAGCCCAGTTATCCAAGAGTGAACAAATCCTATCAGTAGAAGGATTTGTTATAAAAGGAGAATTCTATGATAGGAAGTTCTGTACAAGGCAAGTAATACGTATAGAAAGTTATATAAAGGGAAAGCTCTATTTGTAAAGAAACTCTGTATAGGAAGAATTGGAGGACAAGCAATGCGAGTCCTACCTTAATTCGACCACCCTTTTGTGTATAAATAGGGGCTCAGACCTCCAATAAAAGGATCAAGCAATTTACGCTTCTCTATACACTGTTCTTATTTATTTTTATTGTTTTTTGAGTGAGTTATTTTATTTTTCTCAATCATTATTGGTTGAGCGAAATTTTGCACCTACACTTTGGCGCCGTCTGTGGGAATCGTATAGAAATATATCCCCACCACTTCAAATTAAAATCTCCAAGTCCAACAACGTGACTTGAAATTAAAATCTTCAAGTTTGGGATTTGAACCCAAGTCCTCTCCAACAACGACTATCATAACCAAAGCAAGCCGGCCCACAAGGTTCTTTACATCAACAACGCCGCTTAATATGCTTTTGGACAATACTGGGTAGCAAGGCTAATGAATGGAAAACCCAAGAGGCATCACGTGTATTCGCCCTGGTAATCAGATGTCTATCCAAGTCCGAAAAGCCTTAAAATCAGATAAGTGTTTTGATCTTGATTTCATGTTGATTTTGATTATATATATATATATATAAAATCTTGAGAAACAAATCCAAACATGCATAATTATTATATAAGCGCTAGCTAGAAGTGGTTAATTAGTTGTGCTTTGCTATTGGCTTTGCTACTGGCGTATTATTATTTCAGTACTACATCACATGAACAGAGGTGTTGGGTGGACCAGTATATTAAGATCTCAATTGTTGGGCAGACTGCCCAATCCGTGATCTCCCGAGGAAATTTTTGCTAACAACTAGTATAACTTGTTTATGCATCTCCTTCTAAGGCACTTCTTAATATACAAGGGAATCAAAATTTGCTTTATTTTGAGTTTTGACATCCATGCTTCAATAGGATTTTCAATTTTACTTGTTCTCGTCTGAATTACCAGAAAGCACAGAAGAAGACTAATGACACACGCACTATATATGTATATCATTATGTGATAGTTTAGATCAATAAGCACTTCGCCAACACAGCTTCATAATTTGAATGCCAATATATGAAAGTGTGTATGAATCTCTCAAAATCACCAAAAATCAATTAATTTAGCACTCTTTTTGTACTGTTAGTTAAAGGGTTTTATTTCCTTACTGAACTGAACCATTCTTTCTTCTTCTTGAGTTCTAGTCAAAGCTGTAATGCAAAATAAGAGGAAAGTTAAGACACATACACGAATATAAAAAGACTAGTACGTTCTCATAAATATGTTCTTTTACTGCAAAATTTATTTGTTGATTGATGCTAATCTGAACTCAAGCCTATTGAGTCGAGTTGAACTTCAGAACTCAAGTTCGTAACTTAACCATCAGGCTAATAGAAACAATAATTTTGGAAAAAAAAATGTTCTTGAAGAAGCAAGGCCACAGGAATGAAGCAGATGAGATCTTTTGCTAGCTTATCACAGATCTCCATCATCACAAATAATTTCTTATGCTAATGAAATTTTGCATAACTCTATTGAGACTTTGCTTTTGGATCTTTATCGCCTGAAGTGCTTACTCGGTGTATTTTGCAAATGTTTTAGTTATATGTTTATAGCCCTGAAATCGTTTTCAACTTGTATAATCTCAAAGAGTGCAGATACTGCTTGCATCTTCGTACACTCACAGCTTGGGTGGTTCAGAATTAAAACCCTTTGTATCAAAATGACCTCTAGATGGAAGATCTGGGGTTTGCTGTGCTTATTTCTTCGGAAGTTACTTTTTTGATACCGTGCCTTTTTCTAATTACAAATTAGGATGTTAGATAGCACTATAATTTGCACCTACAATATATCTACTTACATCAATGAATACAAAATCATTGTCTTCATTTGTGAGGCTGTTCTGCAGGACCATTATACTTGTCACAAAGGTATTAATTCTTCTCAATTGAGGATTAGTGGGTATTGGATTATTGGTGACACCAACATGGAACACCATAGTCTCGGTGTTCCATCAGCGTTGTTCTGGTATGGACCTAAATCTCATTTTATGATAGTTATTCTGATATTTTGAAGAGAAGCCAGGGACTTGTTATTGAAGGAGATTTGAAGAACGAGATTATATGAGTTTGGATAATGAGCCTCAATTTAACTTTTTACCTAGTGTTATTCTAGGATTTTATTTATATCTGTTGGGAATTTCTCATAGTGATATCTGTTAGTTTTTTTTGAAGTAATTATTTCTATGCCAGTTTGGATCATGAGCCTTAATTTAACCTTTAATTGCTTTTCGTCACTATTTTCATATCCACATCATATGGATTTTAAAGTATCTATGAGTCATTCTTGCATATACGCATAATATTGGATGACATCATTGTTTTGAATTAGAAAGAAACAAAAGCAGAAGTGAGGAAATTATATAATGCATGGATTTCTCTGTGAATGTTAACCATGGCTAATATGTCAATTAATTCTCTGCAAATCAATTAAGTGGCAATAAATTGCAATTCTAGATTGCTTTTGGAGCATTATTTTTTATAACTTGGTCTATTGTTGAAAGTCGTAAACATATAGCATACATTGAGTAAATTTCACTTAAACTCTAAATGTGGTTTTTGAAGTTGACATATATGCTATAAAAGAATAAATACTTATTGGTAGTTAGAATTTATATTTATATATTCTATTATGATATATAAGAAGTTCTTGAAATTCTTTCCTTCAAGTAGTAAGCTACATGTTACACATGGATGGTTATAAATAGTTTTCTATTTATTTCTCAGTCTTATTTGATCTATGTTTGTATGTTGTTCACTAATATTTGGGTTTGTCTATATGCATCGACAAAAAAAGTTAATTCCCAAGTGCAATGACAAATAGCACACTTAAGCCAATTACAAAAATAGTGGCATCGGAAACTAGTTTGAGAATACAGATCGAGAAAGCCGCTAGTTTCTACAACAACCAGTGGGTAAAGCAAAAACACACATAGACAACTAGTGTTGCAGCCGAAATAATATTTGCCCAACAATCTAAAGCCCAGAGAAAGCCAAGTGGAGGTTTATCATGGGACAATCACAACACCAACTGGGGCAATATATTCTCTTCAAAAAGATAAACTGTGCCAGGTCTATATCATTCAGATGGTGTTGAAGAAGTGCAAACAAAGTTTAACACCAAAATCGCAAAGTCGCAAATTAGGGATTACTAAAGGAGTAGTTCCATACAATTTTGCAGCAAATAATTAAAGGACTTAAAAAGGTATTCCAATGGTTTAATCTTTGATCAAGGTACGATCGCCTCTTCAATTAATTCTTCCTGATTTCTAGTATTGAATCAAAACCAGCGAGCCATGATTAGTTTTATGCAAAACCACTATCCTGTTGATCCACAAGGATATATATCAAAATCTTGGCTTACATGGATTATTTTATTTGATTTTAATCATGATCTTTAAAGCAGTGGAGTACTCATCAAATTGTATCTTGCTGAATTTATTGATTGTACCATTGCCGCTCCAAAATCTGAAAGTTACAAATTGAAAACTTCATTTTTTAAGCAATTATATATGTCTGTCTATCTATATATATATAAACGAGACAGATATTTTATTTCCTTAATGGAGACAATACTTTTATCCTATTCGATGTGGGGTACAATTTTGCTTCATATATTTCTTTCTTTTCATAAAAAGGGGGGTTATACTTGTACCCTACGATTTTACAATAATTTTTATGCATTTTTATGTAAAGAAAACCAAAGGCATGTTTCAGTAATTGCTTGTGTTCAGAATCTCTTCTTTCATAAGTAACTTATGTGCGGCAACATTTACCGTTACTATTGTCCTACATCGATTAGAAATAGAAAGAATATGCAGTTAAAATATGCATGATTTCATACATCAAAATGCTACGAAGAGAGTCTCCATGGAGGAAAGTCTCCCAAGTAAATGAATGGGAGACATCCCAGTCACGGTGAATCTTTTTCGTGGCCTCCTATCATTTTTGAGTCCTCGGCCTCGCCTACTGCAAGATACTCTTCAAGTGCATGGAATTCTTCCTAGTCCACGCTTCGGACCCTAAGTGTCCAGCTCAATACACATCCA